CGCGCCATCTCTCGGAGAAAATGTAGCGATGTGACCCACATTAAGTAAGGATGTACATTATGTAATTCTTGAAAGCTGAATTTGAACCCTATAAAAACGTAGAAATTTCTGCTATAATGAAATCTATATACTTTTCTGTGTCTAAAACCACACAACACTATTACGATGTATGTTTAGCATACGGCTATGTTACAGTTGTCAGTAGCCGTAGTGAGAATTAACGGACTCTTGTGAGTGAGAGAGAGAGAGAGAGAGAGAGAAAGAGAGAGAGAGAGAGAGAGAGAGCGCGCGAGAGCGAGAGAGAGAGAGAGACGAAAACTATACGATCCCCGGAATGACCACCAGTATCACAATATCACAGTATCACAATCTACGAAGGGTAAGAATATTGCAATCTATTGAGCCGCCGCGTGTGAGCTGATATGGTGCAACATCTCGTGTCTTACGAGTATACTTGTAATTCTGGTGTACGCGCGCCATCTCTCGGAGAAAATGTAGCGATGTGACCCACATTAAGTAAGGATGTACATTATGTAATTCTTGAAAGCTGAATTTGAACCCTATAAAAACGTAGAAATTTCTGCTATAATGAAATCTATATACTTTTCTGTGTCTAAAACCATTCTTGTGAGTGAGAGAGAGAGAGAGAGAGAGAGAGAGAGAGAGAGAGAAAGAGAGACGAAAACTATACGATCCCAGAAATGACCACCAGTATCACAATATCACAGTATCACAATCTACAAAGGCTTAAGAATATTGCAATCTATTGAGCCGCCGCGTGTGAGCTGATATGGTGCAACATCTCGTGTCTTGGCGGCGCGCATGCAGGTAGATGCGTGCCATGACTGCTATCCACTGATAGCATTACCCATAGATCTCTATGTAGTATCTATTTACTATGGCATTACCTCATACCTTACGCTGTCCTATTGTAGGATATACGCGCGCGTGTCGTCGTGTCTTGTAGATAATAATATAATTGGCAAATGTTCTTTTGTATGTGTTGTGTACCTGCCATCCTCTTCTCATATACGCCGCCCCACTCACGCCGATGTGCATAGTGTTGATAAAACCCACTCCGTGATCTCATTCTCTCTCTCTCTTGGCTTCCTTCTCAGCAACATCTCCTAACGACCTCCACATTGAGGAAAGACTTCATAATGAATTATTGTGACTTATATTTCTGTTATGGTTATTTGACATCGCTTACTAATACATCGAAATTTAAATGGAATAACTGTGTAATTTTTTTAGCGTTGGAAACTATCATGTTATTGCTGCTGCTACCTGCGCATTGCGCGAGTTTTGGGCAATCAAACACACTTCTGTAACAACGTGAGATAGACCATCATAGTAACATCAAAGTAACCTTTTCGTTGTAAAAATTGTTAGTAGCAGGTAGCGCAATAAATGTCAGGCGTTGTTCAGTAAAATAACAACGTAATAAGGTAGTTGACATATCAATAACTTATAATACACGCGTGCTGTTATGCGATTTCACATATCGCGAATGATCCAGTTAATGCTGGTAAAAGCGAAAAGCATAGCAGAGGGAAAAGTTCAATCATGCGTAAGTGGAATGAATGCACTCGAGCGCTGGGGTTCACACGAGTCTATGTGAGCATAAAGGGCACGGTCAACTTCGCCCGTGCGGCGCCGAATTTTCATGCGGCGACGAGGTCAGATCTCATACGTCGGCGAGATCGCGGTTATGCGGTCGCTGCTATTTCTAGAGAGCGATAAGAATCGATATATGACGTTCTTCTCACCCGGAGATCACATGGAGGGAGCCTCTCTGATGATAATGTACAGTATTGCTCAGCAACCGCCGTCGCCCGCGACCGCCCGATCGATTCTCTGCTGCACGAAGAATAGAGAAGGCGCAGCAGCGCCATCGCTGCGCGGGCTCGCAGTAGATCGAGCGCTCCTGCAGAGGCGCCCGTATACAAGACGACAAACACCTATGATGTGGATGCAATGGATGCAGATGGACGGCTCAGCACGTACGATCGTGGAAAGCAGGCTGAAAATGGCTCCGTGTGCGTTGTGGTGTTCGCTGACCCGGACGTGGCACCGACTGGAAGTAAGTGATGCCGATGACGCGAATACACGCCAGAAAACGTCATGTGTGTTTTTGAGAATTCGATATGGGAGAGAGCAGGAGCAGTGTGAATACAGGCAGAGAGAGAGCGTGAGCGTGTGCGTGGTCGTGCGAGTGAGTTCGTGTGTGTGTTGTGCATGCCATGCGCGCGTGCGTCTACGTGGATTTTGTGCTCGTCCATGCGTCTGCATGTGAGTTTGTGCGCGTGCATGTGTGAAAAGAGGGACGAGGCGAGAGAACGCGTACGAGAGAGAGAGAGAGAGAGAGAGAGAGAGAGAGAGAGAGAGAGAGAGAGCGAGAACGAGGGAGAACGAGAGAGGGGGAGAAGTGAGGGAGAGGGGACGAGCAAGAGAACGATACAAACATGCACAGACACTTGGAGCGTTTCAATAAAATATAATGCTAAATAAATACGAAATCCATTTACTACCAAAGTCTTAATGTTTCTATACTCTCTTTCACCTATTATTGCCGACAATTTCCTGTAAATGCCGTCCAAATGCTCATCTGCAACAAACGCTGGCTGCCCCGGCACACTGACACATAAATATATATAAATATTTATATATATTTGTGTGTCAGTGTGCAGCGGCAGTCATGGCGGCACCTAGCTCCAAGAAACGGTATTGCTAGGGTTAGAATTTGACGTTAGTCACACAGCCTGGTCGGGTTAGGCGGCACCCAGCGTTTGTTGCAGATGAGCATTTGGACGGCATTTACCAAAAATTGTCGGCAATAATAGGTGAAAGAGAGTATAGAAACATTAAGACTTTGGTAGTAAATAGATTTCGTATTTATTTAGCATTATATTTTATTGAAACGCTCCAAGTGCCTGTGCAACCATGCATATAATCGCTGTGGCTATATGCCCGGCAGTCGGGCACGGTCTTCGATTTCCTAAATGCCCGGCAGTTCCTAACCCTAACTCTAACTCTAACCCTAACCCTAACCCTAACCCTAACCCTAACCCTAACCCTTGTTTACTTGAGATAACGCTGAAAATTAAAAACTGCCGGGCATTTAGGAAATCGAAGACCGTGCGCGCGCGCGGCAGCTGTCAGATATATGCCGGCTGCCTGGCATATAGCCACTCTGCATGTAAATAGTGTAAGCGCGAAAGCAAGACGCGATTGCGATCATTGCGATAAGGAAAGGGGTGTCGAAGTGAGATTTAGTGTATGTATGTGTGCGTGCGTGCGTGCGTGCGTGCTTGCGTGCGTGCGTGCGTGCGTGCATGCGTGCGTGCATGCGTGCGTGCGTTCGTGGGTGTGTGTGTGAGCCATAGAAATAATATAGGTAGACTCTAATACAGAGTCTATATAGACCCTATATAGACATATATAGGCCCTATATAGACTCCTATATAGACCCTATATAGACTCTAATATAGGTATCTTTATATATTTCTATGGTGTGAGCGAACGGACTGGGAGAGGTGGTGCTGCTGTATTCTTTACATAGTCTTCCATAACAGGAGTGAATAAAAACAAATGGTTTTTATTTAGCAATTAATAATAATTAGTCAATTGTTATTGTGTCAATAAAAAAATTGGTTATATTCACTCATGTTGCATATATGCAATCGTTACATGTAAAATTATAGGATGGTGAGCCATTTCGCAATTTGTTTCTCAGTTCTGGAATTTGACCGATTGGAATTGGATTATTTTAAATATTTAATCTATCTATCTATCTATCTATCTATCTATCTATCTATCTATCTATCTATCTATCTATCTATCTA